GAGTCACCGAAAATCTGTCGACTCCGCAGCCCTGCTAGGTCTGCGGAGTCGGAGTCGGGAGTTGGAGTCGGTCGGAGTCGACAATTCTGCCCGGAGTCGGAGTCGGAGTCGGAGTTGGTTTTTGAAAGCCGGAGTCGGAGTCGGAGTCGGAGTCGCCGAAAATCCATCGACTCCGCAGCCCTGAAGGGAGCAGCCCGCATGAGATAAAGTTGCCTGTCCAGCCCGGAGGGGGGTTGCGGCTTGGAGGAGAAGGATTTCAGTATCCTGAGGATAGAAGCACGGATAGGTGTAATTCATATTCTAGGCAGCTCCAAGTGATAACATAACGCTCACCTCACTAATGCAGCCTCGGTGCGACTTTCCCTTCTCGACAGCAGGCGCGGAGCGTCGAACGGCGCCCATGTCACGCCTGCCATCTGTTGGCAAACGTGCGAACTAGCCGTGACGGTGATTCGGGAGGGCGGCCGGGCGGAAGGCCGATAAAATGACGCTCACAGTATGCGGCGACACTTTGCCCGGGTAACACCGTCCCATGGAACGCTCCTACGGCACGCGGTCTGCCAGTAAATGACCTCCAGGTTTCATGATCCGCCGCCAACGGTTTAACGCGGCTTCCTTATTTGTCTTTACTGGTCTTTTCCATTCGACAGTTTTAGAACGCTTGCTTTACAAATGCTTTCCGAAGCAAATCATACCGGTGTTAGAAGCGCTCAGAAGCACGCCCTGTTCGACATATCTGATCGAACAAGGCGTCAGGCAGCGCTCGTAAAAGACTCACTCAACAGCCTATAAGTAGATTATGCAGGATAACATTATTCAAACACGACCGATCAACACGAGGCCGACCGTAAGCCCTTTGTCTGGAGAAACTGGACGCGGGTCTCCTTCCGACACGTCGAACTCGTATGGACAATCGGCGCTCGTAATTTCAGTTTTAATATTTATTGGGCCCACGAGCCGCCTGCCAGACACCGTGTGACGTTATCTTCTGATCGGCAGGCAGCCACCGGCCACTTCGCCTTCACACCAACAAAACGGGACCGTAACGGTGCACGTGGTAAAAAATCTACGTACAGGAAAAAATCCACCCACGAATTCGGTGTACCATATAACAAATATGGTAGCTACTTTTACGGTATGGTCCGCTATTCACCAATCATAGGCATGAGCCCTGCTTAGCTGGAATCTGAATTATACAGAATGTACGACATGCTCCTAATTATGAATTGGACATTTGCAGCTAATACACACGCATACCTATGTCAGATAGGCATGTACTGATTAGTTTCCCTGACTATCATCTATAAAAATGCTGTTGTGTTTCACCTATGCCACCGTTCCGTCTTTTCCATCCTCAGGACAGTCAAATCCTTCTCCTACACGCCTCAACCCCCTGTTCCGGGCTGGACAGGCAGCTTTATCCCATGCGGGAAGCTCTCCTATAGCAGGGTGGCCTGTCCATTGGATGGGCTCAGTCCAGATGACTCACTTAGGATATCCGCCTATTACCAATGTCTCCCCCTAATTCCTATCATCCTCCCGGCTCTGCAATGTGCACAACTGACTGCAGGAGCCTAATCCTACAAAACAAATAAGCAAATAATCACCTGTGCCAAGGAGTCGCACTCACTCCAATCTATAGGTATGTAAAATACTCAGATTTGTTTTTCAATAGAAAAACACAATTCTAACGAATTGTGTTTCAACTATTGACCACAAACCTTCGGTTACCCACGCAAAATGCACCTGAGTCGTCTTCGACGTCTTTCACCCTCGATAGCTTTCAGATGCAGGACAGGTAGGAAGGTAGTTATATCATTGATACGGTTTCATGATAACTAAAGTTTACAACCATTTCTATCAACTTTTATTTTGTGGCATATTGACAAGCCATGATAAACGTTTAGGAACATCGTAATATAATCATAGAAAGAAAAAATCGGGCTCTACGAAATAAACGTTTTTATAGCCCGAAGGGTGACCCGAGACGATGACTCGTGAAAGTGATCATCGAAGGATATCTATTTACAAAATTGTTTTGGCTATTTTCAACTGTTTGCCTTATGCATAAAAAAGGGAAGGGCATGAAAATATCATGGGGCACCAATAAGTGCCGTTATTTCAGTGGTGAAGTGTGCAGCGACAGATCAACTTACTTCGTGTGAAGTTATACGCAGTTTTATATGGCTACACCCTGGCTGCCATCCTCTCGCAGCAGCCGCTGTAACCTGCGCTGTTGTAGGTGCTGCTGGTGCTGACTGTGCTCGCGAAACGCCCGTTTACCGTGGTTGGTGCAGCTAATGTTAACCCTCGCCGGCACAGGCCATTTTGAGTCCTTCGACGGCACAAGGGGGGTTGGTACGACCCCCCTCGCGTTTGGCCCCTGATCGAGCTAGAGCTTCGCGGAAAAAACGAGCGTGTTGCCCGTCACGAGAGGAAGCCGATGATACCCAATTTTAAGGTCCTAGGTCATCGGGTGACCTTCCAGGTCAGGTCAATGACCCGAAAACCGGGAAAATCGGGACCTGTTAGAAAGTCGTGAAGTGTGGCTGCTATGTGGTTTTCCGGGGTACTGATCACGAATATCGTGTTGGTTTTGATCAGAGATGATGTTTTTAAGCATTTAGACCTGGTCGGGTCAGGTCAGGTCAGGTCAACCGGTAGGGATTGTGACGGGTATTCGTAATACGTGTCAACCGCCTCGGACAGCTTCGTAACATGTTACGAAGGCACCAAAACTACTTCGTAAATGTTCAAATGGTTGCTAAATTCAAATTCAGCTCCAAAAACTAGCCTAGAAACATGTAAAACTCGAAAAAGTGAACCGAGGTCACCCGAGGTCACCAAAGGTCAATGACCTGACCTGACCTTCAGGTGACCTTGACACCCACCCTAATGCATGGGAGCAACATCAAATCACATGTTTGAACGTTTGAAACCACGAAAAGCTTGCAAACGCGCGGCTAATGCGAGCCGACATGCGCCGAACCGCGATTTCGGCCAAACATGGTCACAGAAGAGGTCACAGGTCAAAGGTCATTGGGGTTAGGGTCATGAAATTTTCAGGGTAGGTGTAAAATTGATCAATGCGAAGGTACTGAAAGTTTCGTTGCGATCGGCCGCTTTTTACGCGAGTTATTCGCGAAAAACCTTAGGGGAGGGGGTTGCATCACCCCCCCCCCCCCTGTGCCGGCGAGGGTTAACGCTAAGGGCCCGTCCACCGTTGGTGATTCGCCCAGACGAAGGCGTGGTCGGGGCGGGGCTGGAGCTGTTGTCGGAGCACCAGAGTCTGACTCCTGCCCTCGACGGTACCCCCGAGCACGTGCAGCATGGCCAGATCGCCAGATACCGTGCGGCGTCCAACGAGAGCTCCGAGCCGCACACGACCCGAAAACCAGTTATCGCGAGCATGCATCGGGGAAGAAACAACTTTCATATTACGGGATGAAGTCACTGGCATCCCACCTGATTTATATGAGGTGTCGAAAATGTAATCAGTAGCTAGAACGATAGCCATGAATAAGTTGGCAACGGTAGCGTATTGATCAGTATGGAATCAGCGAGAACTTCTTGAATCTGCCTCAAGAATGGAATTACACCGGTGCAAGCATGTGGTTCCATGCTCCTATATGTCATCGTAAATTGGAAGCCAATCATGGAAAGAGCACCCGTATAGACAACATAGGCTCCGTTACACAGGCAACCGATTATGCCGAAGCCGTTGGCTCACTTTGATAGCTCTTCGATACCGGCAAGGGGCAGTAAACCAACACTGGACCGCCGCACCGCACTGCCGCGGGCGGCGCTACCGCTCATCAATCGCGCTTTACGGGGCGGAGGAGGGGACCAGCTGCCCTCAGCAGGCCACGGGGCCGGCCATTAACACCTCCGAGCCAGCCGGGTCCGGAATCCGCAGCGCAGCAGCACCCACCCAAATCAAAACTCGCTCGGCCGCCGGCTCTGAGGTGCTGGCCGGGGGAGGTCGAGCTGGCAGGTCGCCACCGCCCTCCCACCACGCCACCGGGCGGTGATGAGACTCCGATATTGTGTGACAAACGGACGCGGATGGCTCCGTGCGTCGATTAGCCGACATACCGGCCCGACTGGGGGGTCTGCTATCTGTCCAGGTCGGCAAGCGACTCTGTGCGTGTGGGTGAATGAGTGAGGCAGCAGTGAATGAGTGAATGCGTGTGTGTGTGTGTTTGTGTGCCTGTGTGTACGTGGGAGCCCGTGTATGTAGTTCGGGGCCGGTCGGTAGGAATGTCTGCGACACGCCCAGTCATCAGAGAGATGGTGAAGGATCAGCAGAGGCGCTAACCAGACGGCAATCAAAGCCAACACACAATGGAGTGAATGACTTCTGAATGACCACATGATGCGCGGAAAATATGGTAATTTATCTACGCATGGTAGATTTCAATACCTCCGCCAGATCACATTAAATCGCATTCTCATACCGTCCATCCTATCCGTTCAATTGGTTTGGCAACACCGCAAAGTAATGAGCGAATTATCTTATTAAAAATACTACCCCAGCTCGAGAAAACAGCTAAAATAGACGTCAAACAATGTACCCATTACCGTATCTACAGCACCGGTACTGGGTTCGCTCCTCTGACAGCCACACAGGACATGTCCATCGCGCTCGTGCGCCGGCCGCTCCAAATAATCACATCGCCGTCACTCATCGCGGCTGCCCCAGCTGACATGTTTTCGCACAGAGAGGAAGGGCTGGGTCGGTCGGCCACCACCTGGGTCCCGCTCGTGTCGACCCGTGGCCGCTGTTTTTTTTTTTACGGCGGTATCGGCGGCGGCGCGGCGCGGCGCGGTAACGGCGGTGACGGCGGCGGCGGTGCCGCGCGGCCGGCCGGCCGGCTCGGCTGTCGGGCCGGCCCGGAGCGGCGCGCGGCCCGCTATTGGTCGCCGCTGGAGCTCGGCGAGCGCCCATTGGCCGAGCGTGACATCAGTAAGCATGACAGAGAGGTGGGAGGCCCGTCGGGTCGCCGCCAACACTCGATCCTACCTGGCCGCGCCGTGAGCATACAGCCAGCGTCGTCGTTTCGCCGCCAGCCATCATTTGCCTTATCAGCAGTCGGCTGCCCACGCGTCCGATGTTAGGCGGGGCGGGCGGACTCTCGCCGTTGCTAGGAGACCAGGTGGTGGCCATGGCGACAGAGATCACAGATACTCCGGACATGGTGAGTACTCCAGACACTCTCCGACATTCCATGAAGCTGTTTACCTGTTTTGGTTCATGTGTCAGTCAGTGTAATCGGTAATGGCCTGTCTTGCTTTGGTCTCGCTCTCGTTTCGCTTTGGGATTTATTTCGTCTCGCTCACGTCGTACAACTTTCTTGCCCGGCGACCCCGATGAATTTATGGAGTGTTCCTTTCCCTTGTCACTCGAGCTATTAGGGGCTTTTTATTATTTTGCCATCGCCACTTGGTTACTGATCACATTTAGATTTGTTCGATAATCGATCAATCCGGCGTATCAATCGCAGCCAGGTCGGGCGGGAGTTTTTGTCACAGTCAGCCGACCGCTCGTATCTTTCCGATGTTTCAATTGCCCCGTTTTTGTGGCGGCCAACTTTTAGTGCAATTACCGCCTGTGAGGGTGCCGCGAACAAAAAGCGGCGTGGCCGTGATGTGCCGATAGCCGACGGCACAGAGCTCTTCAGCAACCACTGCAGCCCCACTGGTTGACCGGGTCACTTGAACCGCATCGTGTCGGCCTTGTGATCCGACCTCCGTGACATTGAATAAAAAAACTGTCATCATATCTGACCGACACATCTCCACCATTGCAGGTCTGGCAGGACATTGAGCACGTGCTGCTCAGCGACAGTATGGAGAAGCCCGCTCCGGCGGCGGCGCCGTCGCCCCCGACGCAGGCGCCGCCCGCGTCGCCGCCGACGCTGGCCAGCAGCTACGCGGCCGCCTCTTGGGCCGAGTACCCACAGCAGTGGTCGGCAGGCGGTGAGTGGCTTCACTACTTCGCCGACAACGCGCTCAGCAGCCGAGTGGACGGCTTCGGCGGAGCTCAGTCGGCGCTGACGGAGGCCCAGAAGATAAAACTGGAGGCGGGCTGGCCGGGCCCGGCCGGCTCACCACAGTCGGCCAGGCAGCAACTGGAGGCCGCACACGGCTATGGAGAGATGTTCTACGGCGATAACGGCTGCATGAGCGGCTACATGTCTCCCCCGGTGACGCCCGAGAACCGGCTCAAGTGGCATCATCAGCAGCAGCATCACCAACAGCAGCAGCAGGCGCATCAGCAGCAGCAGGCGCACAAGGGCTTCAGCGGCTACTACCCGACGGCCGGCGCGGCGTGCGGCATGCACACCAACGGCCTGGTGACGCCGCCCTCGTCACCGCAGTTCCTCGCCAACGGCGGCTACCTGTCGGCGGCCCCGGCGGGCACCCCGACCAGCCTGCACGCGCTGCCGCCGGCCGCCAAACCGCGCCGCCGCCGGACCTGGGCCAAACGGAAGGTCATCATCCACACCTGCGCCCACCCGGGCTGCACCAAGACATACACCAAGTCCTCGCATTTGAAGGCGCATCAGAGGACGCACACGGGGGAGAAGCCGTACCAGTGCACGTGGAAGGGCTGCGGCTGGAAGTTCGCCCGCTCGGACGAGCTGACGCGCCACTACCGCAAGCACACGGGCGACCGGCCGTTCCAGTGCCGGCTGTGCGAGCGGGCGTTCTCGCGGTCGGACCACTTGGCGCTGCACATGAAGCGCCACGCCCAGATGTGAGCCTGTGCGCCTCTGTCCCCACGCAGCCGGCAGCCCTCCACTCATGAAATCTAGTCATCCGCGCGTCGCATTCTGTCAGTATTATGTAACGACGCGACGAGCGACCGACGAGTGTGTGTCCTCTCTGTCCCCACCGTGCAATTGTTTGAGATCGTGTACAAGGAATGTCGACTGCGATAAGGACGGCGCACGAAACGCCGCTGTCACCGCTATGATCGCTTCCAGACTTCGAATTTTGACCTCCCGTGACATGTTTGTACATTGTTATTTGTATAAATACATATCATTTGTAATAAGTCATCTATTTTGTTCTGGTGAGGAGCTCAGTGCGGGATTCATTACGATAGTATCTCAGGAATTCTGACACAACTGTTATTCTAACACATATTTTACGATAAACTACACCAAGCGGCGTTCCATGCGCACTTGCACGCATATTTACATACGTGCTGGCTGGTCTGCGTGCGGGCCGGGCCGGTGGCAGCGGCGGAGGCGCGGCATCCGTCGGGGCCTCCGGCAGTGGCGGGTGGCGGTCGGCAGGCCCTCCCCTGTCTGTGGCGCAGAGGCGCCGGTGGGTGGTGTTCGGCAGGCCCTGCCCTGTCTGGTGCAGAGGCGCCGCCGTGGCCGACCGCCGTCCGCGCCGACTTAATCACAAGCTGCGCCACTAATGGCCAGCAATAGACCGCCCCCTTATTGATTACCGCTCGGAACGCAGCAGCGGCGGCTGTGCAGATTCACCAGACTGAGGGCGCCCGCCGCCGCCGCCGCCCCCGCCGCCGCCGTCTCTTGTAGTGTGCGCGTGCCTTCAACATTGCCCTGCCCTGACCCAGCTGCTCAACGCCCCAGCCGCCGGGCACTGGCCGCGTGCCGGCTATTCCCAAACGAGCGCAGTGTCCTCGTCTTGCAGTTTGACGTGAGAACAAGGGAACAGTCAATCATGTCTGAAATGAGACAGAATAGCTGAGCATGGTTTTCTTTGCTAGCGTTTCATAGAAGGATGAAAAGACAAAGAGGACTGGAATGCAGTAAGAATATGTTTTTGGGCAATAGGAAGGAGTGGGACAAAATGAAGAAGGAGAGAAGTAGGATATTGCAATATTTGTCTTTTACTCTGATTCGTTCGCCGATTATTCAGCGAAGGGAGTTGTTAGCCTGTTTAGGCCTTCACAATGAAGTGGCTGTGAATTCTTACTGTAATGCACCTGAACATTTTTTTCTTTTTTATATGTACCTATATTTTGCATTGTGGATATTTAAAATAAAACTGAGGATTTTGGGAGAACTGAGACCGTCTGCCTCTTGCAACGTTTTTTTTTATGCGAGTAAAAACAAAGGTAACGATTCTTTGTTTATGATTGCTTCCCAATATCCTCCGTAATGTCGTTTCAGACTTTCTTCTTTACTTTTCAACGCTCCAGTTTCCTGCAGCTCCCCTGTCCTCCCTATCGTCCTCTGCCTCTCCCTAGTCCCGCTCCAGTGTCGGCTCGAGCCACTCGACCAAGACGGTTCCGTTCGTCGTCCGAGACGGCTCCGTTTGTCGTCCGAGACGGCCCCGTTTGTCGGCCGCTAAGTGGCGTGTAAGCGGTGCCGGCCGCAGACCGCCGGTCGGTGACGCTCCGTTGACGAGAGGCGCTGACCGCGCGACCGACCGACCGGGGACCCGGCGACAGGAAATGCGTCACTGACGGAATGTAGCACCCGCTGCCAGCGCCCAATGCCACTGCGAGTCGCTGCTGAGTCCGAGAGGTCAACATGGGTACGAACTGGGTACACAGTGACGGCTCTCTGCACCTGCCGGAGGGGAGCAGGGAGAGGTGTTAATGCCGACCGGCGCTGCGTCCATGAACGGGGTCGCCGGCCCAGTCAGGGCCAACCGTCGCCACGCCGAGTGGGCGCGAGGTGCGAGGTTTCACTATGAACAACACTCCACAAACACAGCCGCAGTGCCAGTTGTGGTTGTGATATTTCTGATTGTTGTCCCGTCGGGGCGCTCTCCTTTGTGCGGCGGCACTCGGCGGGCCGTTGACGGGCCGCGCTCGCTCCTGTTTTCGCAACGCTGGCCGCCGTTTCGCCGCTCCGGAGGCTTGCTTTGTGTGAGGGATGTAGCGCGCATCCGAGCGCGAGCAGCACTTGACAGCGCGGCCATGGCCGGCAAGTGAAGACATCAGCGTGTCCGTCGTCAGCGACCCTTTTCACCGTGTCATGTTCTCGGGAGCCCCGCACGGCGACACATATGTTTAAACAACCAAACTTAATTTGGCCTTTAAATAGCCAGGAAGCCGCGATAGCGAATGGTACAAAAGATTTCTAATGAAGTTAATTTATTGCCGGAAATGCTTTGTGTAATAATGCCGTGTTCTGTTTGCCTGTGACTTGAGGCCTGACATAGGCCACGCACGAAAACGGCGGACTGGCGGTGGTTAAATCTGCAGACTCACCACCGCTCGGACACAAAGGGACAAGTTATCCATCCCCACAAGGTGCAGGGCGGAGGGTAGGGTTCTTTATTTGATACAGGTGGAATCGAGCTGGGTCAAATGTGCATGCAGATCCGTCTGAAGCGGACTCAATAAGAAATAATTTAATGATAGCACCGGCGGATGTCAGCAACAATAAAATTATGCATAGCAAAATGGTTCGATTCAATCTTCATGTTCTTTATATGAGCCATCATAAATTTTTAATGTTTACTATGGCCCTCCAGATGAAAGCCAATCCGTAGCGGCCGTGATGACGTGTGAGATGAGCGCCACCCCCGGAAACAATCGGCGTCTGTGGGCTACTGTGGGCGCCCGGCCGGCTCTCTGCGGCCGCAACAATCGGCCCGTCGCTCGGCGCCCGGCCCGCCGTCGGGCGCGGCGCCGCCACGGGCCACCTTTGGCAGCGCTCAATCGAGCGTCGCGTGCCCGTGGGAGTGGAGTCTCACCACCCGCAGGGGCCGCGGCCGGACGCGCCCAGTAGCGGCCAGAGGTGACGTCAGTGGTCGTCCATCCATCAGCAGACGAGCGCCGCTATCTGCCGCTTCATTACGGCCGTGTATAGGGCGCTGGGCCGGCACCGGGCCGCCGCCGCTCTCCTTCACACAGCCGCGCAGTAATTATGTTCCCATGTTGGATGGTATCGCGCGGGCTCGGTCACCAAATCGGGCCGGGCCCGCTCAATGAGCCCGGCCATATCTGACCGGCATCTGAGTCAGCTCACCAAAACACTGGTGCCGCGGCATAAAACGACAGGGGCGGCGCGGCGATCGCGCAGACTCCGCCGCTGATTAACCACTAATTACCGACGCGCTGGACCAGAAAAGGAGACGCTGGAGGAGCGTCTCCGACCCGAGACGCGTGCCCAGGTGTCATCTGTTGGGCTGACCCCGCGGCCTCCCCCCTGCCGCGCGGGGCTCGGCCTCGGTCCCGGTGGGCCGGTCCCGTCGCGTGCGACCGGGTCGGATCCGAGCGTACCCCGCTGACCGGATGTCCCCATCACTCTTCCCAAGGACTGGGGCAGAGCGGGCCGATAACGGTTAAAAGATTATCCACGAGTCAGGTGGAATTTCTCCCGTTTATTAATCTATGCTCCGAAAGGGGAAGGTAGAAAAATAGTAGGATTGAGTGTGGAGGATTACCTGGAATTGTTAGATCCATCAACTTCCTGATTGTTCGGTGCCAATCGCGCTCCCCTCACACCCTGTCTGAGCCTGGATAGTAATCAATTACCACCCGACAATACCACGGGGCGTCACGGGGTTTTTGTCGCTCCCAACCCCTTCCTGACACAAGATTGAGCCTTATTCGGGTCCGTCAGACAGCCTGGCGTCTGGGGTCGGTATTTGCGCGGCGCGAGAGGGGCCGAGGATCGCCGGGTCTCGGTGTCGATTTCGGGGGCCGCTCGGCGCGCGGTGTCATTAATCAGCGGACGGCCGTCGTGCGACACCGCGCCACCCACACACTGCGCAAATAGCAGGCCTTGTTCACCAGCGTCGGCTCGGTAAACAACGCGGCCGCGCCGGCTCAATGGAGGAACGTGCCTGCGCCGGCGCCATGGAGCTTGCCACCTGCTTCTGTGATGGAAATGGACGCAGAAGGTGGCCGACATGGACGCAAAGGTGGCCGCTGCAGCACTCACCGGATCCGACGCGAGACCGCCGCGCCGCTCCGACCGCCGGCCGCCCGCGCTGACGGGTACGGGCGCGAACGGCTGTCGTGCAGACGGGGCAGACGGGGGCAAGCACTGCGACTGTGTATTACGGAAGAATCGGGTTCTGGCGGTGGTTTGTCGTAATAAATGATGATGGCAAACAACTCATTGATGCGGCATCAGATGTCGCGCTAGCGGCGTGCATCGCCATTTATCTTGATGGCGCTGATGTTGAGCGCGAGGCTCAATATACCCTAGTTTTTATGTGAGTTCCACAGTTTCCCGAACAAGTCGGGTGAGATTGAAAGGACACTGGCGATGCTTGCCTCACAGATGAAGTACGATAAATGGTTATTAATGGATTTGCAATATCGCGTGACGGTTGTCAATCACAGACTAGCCGATCAATAGCGGCCACAGATGAATTGTGTGCTGGGACGGGATGTTATCTGCATAGCGTAGGTTAATGTTGCAAACAGTGTTCCATTTTACCCAAATTTTCGTCTATCATGATATCTAATACAGCCATTCTTGTACATATGCCTTCATTTAGTCCCCTATTCATTGTTTGGATCATTTTGAAATGTTGACAGCTTTCTTGGTAAAGGGCGTTTTCTCAGTTGTTAAATCGAACGCTTTTGTCGATGTAGGATAATAACTATTATTAATTATTGTAACTCATTGACTAAATTTTCTTACGCCAAAATCTTGGCGATGGAGGGTTGGATAAAGGGGGAATGGGCGAATCCCTTTCGCACCACCATCGTCCATCCAAGTTGCGCATGTTGACTGTTGTTTATCTGACCCATGCACGCTCAGCTGATTTGACCAGTGCACGCTGCTCATTTGGCCTGCGTATGCTGCTCATCTGACTGTCAGTCTGTCTCTGCTGGAGTCCCGAGAAGCCGAGCCTGGCTCCCAGCAGCTTCCGTCGTCTCAAGGCGACATGAAGGAGTCACGTATCATAGCGATGCAGCCGGCACTGGGACCACAAGGCGAGCATGCTAGTCTGAATAATTAGGCCTTCTAGGGGACGCCATGTCTCCACACTAATATGGGTCCACCGCTGTGCCTGTAGTGTGGGTAGGACGGGCAGGGATGCTGTTTCTTATGTTGCTAACAGTAACTCCGTAAGCCGGGATAAGCGAGTGGACGGGACGCCTGGCACG